CCGAACTGTCTTGGAATCGCTGTAGTGACTTCTGTTGCTTCCTGAAAAAGCCAATAGAAACATTTTTACTGTATTGAAATAACAGGTTTGCAGGATTTCTGCTGAAGTAGAATTTAAAATTTTCTGTTGTTGTTCATCTCCAGGGAATGTCAGAATTCTGAGCAGATTTGTCTAATTCTGGTTTGTTATGCTTACCCAAAGGAAAAAAAGAAAAAAAAAAGGTCCCTTAATCACTTCCTATAATCTAAATGCCAGCCATATGCACAGTAATTTCATATTACTTCTCTAAGTTGTTTATTTTGGGTACAGAAGGAAGCTTGTTTAAAAAGATACCATCCCTTCTATTTTTGTTTATTTATGTATTTATTTATTTATGCTCCTTTCTGGAAGAAATAGAATGGAAATTTGTTTTTGTTTTGTTTGCTTTTGAAAAGATGTATTTGTGGTATGTGGATAGTTTGTTACTTGTCAAAATTGTACCACTTTCACGGTTCCAAATCATCCAGTTGTACATGAACCACAATCCTCCTCTGATAGTGAATCTCCTCACTTATTTAGCATTCAATTTGTCATTTGCATACACGCACAAACAGAAAAATAACCCCCAAAGAACAACTTTTACCCTACACTAGCATTTGTGATGTTTGCGATAAGCTTTAATTAGTAATTTACACAACAAAACAAATAGAGAACATCTATCTCAATATTCAGATATCAAAAATTCTCCATTTCTTTGTGTTCAAAATAATATATTCTTTCTAGTGAGGCCCTGATGTTAAAAAGTACCTTAATTGTGGCTAAATGTTTTTAATTATTTCTGTTTTCTTCTTTTTTGTTAACATTATGGGAATGATGTTCCCCAATGAGCAATATGACCAAAATATTCACATATTTTCAGAAAATATATTTTTTTCTCAAAAAATCTTTCTATGTTAATGCTTCAGGCTGCTTTGTGCCTAAGCAATGACAAGGTTTTCAGTCCTTTTGTGAGATTAGGCTAAGCTTCTTCCTTCCTCCTTTTTCTTCTTGCATTTCCATATCTTTTCAGACTTTCATGCAATTTGATGAGCATACTGTAAAGCTGTGCGAGAACATATGGTCTATCAACATCTGGACAGTTCTTACTAATTATAGGGGATCCCATTCCTGTCCTGAACAGATGTATTAGGAATTCAAATAGATATATTAAGAATTCATTTTAATTCTTAAGTTTTGCAGCTTACTTTAGTTATCTTATTATGGTGTCAGGTCTAAGCATTCTGTAAAATATAAATAATATCAAATTTATTAGAAGAGTAGGTGTCACTTCAAATTGTATAGAACACACCTTCCTTATAGAGGGGTCCTTTTTTGTCTCTAATTGATTATAGCTGTAATTACATAAAATTATATAGATAGTTCTAAGTGTAATATTTTGGCATAAGTAAGTATGAAGCATTGTAATAACAAAAAGACTTATTGGTAATTTCAGAAAATAAACAGGAGCCTATCTGAGGTTTTCAGTGTTGTCTAACGGGTCACATGTTGTTTCTATGAAAAATGTCAACCATGCTATAGAAAATATCAATCATTCCTTTAAAAAAGCTTGGCGCGTATTCATTCATACTTGCTCGTTCCTTTTTGGTACTTCTTTAGAATGTTCTTTGCTTTATACAAATACATGGAGGAATCTAATTCAAGCAGACTGTATTGTCTGGAAATGAATGATACATTGGATGACTGTTCAAGCTCAAAGCAAAGTTAGTTTTGCAGAATACAGAATACCTGTTAACTGCTCAATGGTTGTTACAGCTCCTATAACATTAGAAGAAAAGATTCACTCAGTATTTTCTGTTGATGTGATTGCCGCAGGGCTATTACTGTACATTTGAAAACAGGATGGCAGGATGAGGGAGTGACTTGGAAGGGAAATAAAGATAGTCTGGAGGCATTCGCTAGATTAAGATACTCCACCAGAGAAGCACAGGAGCCTTTCTCTGGATGAGGGAATAGGTCTTTGTGCATGGCAGTCACAACAGAAGTTTGTGATCTGGTAGCACTTGAGCAGTCTCTTTTGCAGCCGACCTCCACCAGACAGCCACTCAGTAGAGCTCATCTACCAAGCAAGAAATGTGGATCTGCACTGAATCCTTAGCCCACCTGTGTGTGCGTGTATGTGTATAGAATGCGGCTAATGCTAAACTCATGTAACAGATATTTAAATGCTTCACAGTTAATCCCTGTAGAATTCCCTTGGAACATCCTGTCATCTTGCAAATGGATCCAAGTTGAAACATTTATTGCCATTAGTCTGTTTTATTTCACTTGGTTTTGAAACAAATGAAACGAGAGTGGGGAATAGCATCTGATACTTCTCCAGGGTACTGCTTCTTGCACTAGCAACAGGATGAAATCAGTGCCTCAGTTCCTTTCCACCTCTGTAATCATCGGGATTTACAAGCATTTCAGTAAGACTGTTTGTAATTCTAGTACCATGTAACAATGTGTTTTGAGGTGTTACAAGGCAGTCAGAATTGCGAGGGAAACTTTGCAGATGTTAAAAAAAGAGGCTGTGGCGTTACTCAAAATGAAGGCCTGCCTAGGTTGTTTCGCACATTGATGAGAGGTTATGCAACATAAAGCCACGGGGGTATAAATAATGTTTTCGCTTAGGCTTTTTCCATCTGGGTATAATCAGTGGACTTTCTTATAATCCTCATCATGATGATACTCTAGTAATCTGCATTTTAAGAAAGAAAATCATTCTAAATGATTCTCAATTTCTCAAGAAAGTGTTGGGGATGAAAATGTATTCATAGAACATGGGACCTGATAATCAGATCTCATAGTTTAGACTTTCCAACCTCAATGATATTTGCAGCATAGTGCAACATTCTTTCTTTGGAGACATTCGACAAGAAGAAAGCTGGAAAGAAATTAGCATGAACAAATACAGATTTGAAAATATATCTCTGAATGTATAATCAGCTTCTGAAGACTTTGGAAGTTCTTCTAGATGCATGCTTCTATCTAGTCTCTTTTAAAAAAAAGATTACTGTGGAGATGTTATAATATTACTCTTGAAGAAGAGAGCGGCATAGTCTTAATAACAGCATTCTCTTGATGAGCAAGTGTAAGAAGTTTGTGATTCTGTTGCTTAAGTCACATGAGAATCTCTTCCAATACCAATTCACAAATAAGAGATACTTAAATAAGTTTAAAATTCCATTCGCTCCAAGTCACCCATCCATTTCCACAAAGGGAAATATGAAATGGATTTTCTGACTATCGCAATTTAATAGAGAATTTTTTGCATATTTTTCATTAGGCAGCTGAGCCACTTGAGTATATGTAGTTTCATGAATAAAATGAGAATAGCTTCAATTGTTCATGTCTGATTTTGTGGGTGTTTGCATTTATGAAAGCTCAGAATGAGAATGTCCTACAAAATCTTGAAAATTATGTTGGCCTCAAAGAAGAAAATCTACGTACTTTTACAGATAATTTTCTATGACAGCAGCTTGAGAAGAGAAGATTGGGTTATTTTCCATTTTAATTAAACAAGGTGCAATATCATCATGATTGCAGGCAAGGGTACATCACTTCCAGTTCCATAAATATCCTTATAAGCCTGTATATATATTTACATTAAGCATGTGTGTATGTGTGTAATTAAGGAGGACAGGTCCATTTTAATCCAAATCTAAATGACATAATTATTGAGACATTCCTCTTTTGCATGTTTGTTGCCTTTTAAGGTTGGTTTCTCCCTATTTCCATATATTTATGATAATGATACAATGTTATTTGCTTTGTCATCCGTAGAAGAGCCTGTTTTACAAGTTAGCTAAGGAAGAACTGGTAACTAGAGTATTATAAATGAGCTATAGATCTATAGAAGATCCACAGAAATAATTTTCAAAGTCAGGTTTACAACTTCTAACCATTACTCTTTTGTCACTTTAAGGAATTTTGTTTTCTATAGAACTGTCTCCTAAAGTAAGAGTCACAAATTTACTTAGCTTTCTCTTGTAAATAAACTATCCCAGAGGTGATAAAAGGAACTGAAGTAATTATTAGGAAAAATGTATTCTTTCTGAGAATCAAACAAACAAGGAAATGATTTGAAATACCTATACAATGACTGTGAGAATTATAAAATGTGAAAATCAGATAGGACAGATGTAGAGGGTTCTGTTTGGTTTCAAAGGTTAATACAAATTTTAGTGTAAAACAGCTGCAGAGAATGAGAAAGGAGAGTAAAAAGAACTTTTTTTTAAAAAAATGAGTTATTTCTTTCCCCAAGGTTCTACTTAAGTGCATTTTTATGATTCCTAGGTTCTGCAAAACTCCCTTGCATGTTTCATATTCTTTTCATGTCTGAATAAATTCAACTTAAGATAACCTTTATGTAAATGACAGTTATATATTGTGTTAAGAGCTACAAACAATTTTTTTCAGAGCAAGATCTGCACTTGGGATTCATAGGACCCTGAAGAAGCATGACTGCACTTTTAAGATACTCAAAAAGAGTTCAAAAAGATGTTCAAAAAGGACAGATACAAGACTATTTTTATAAAGTACTATCAAGGCATTGACTGGTGTCAGCAGTTGCAAGGCGAAAGCCTAAGGACAAGTCTGCAAAAAAAATGCTGATTTTTTTCTTTAAAAATCAACAAAGGAGTAGAAAAAATTCTTGTGTGTGTTTTCCTGTTCTATTAACATATTTCTGAGTATAGTGAAGGATGCTTGCTGAGCTTCGTATGTACATGGAACCATTGAAAGCCCACTTTTTATTAAAATAAATCTCACAAAAGTACATATATTAGGATTCAAGTGGCTCTTACATGGTAATTTTGATTACTAGATATCCAGAATGATACAATAGGTTGCATATGCGTTTTCATATGAATTTTCAACAAAGCTACCCTTTTAATTAGCACAGTGTTAGCTAACCTCCTTCTGTGTCTTATCTATAGAATATGATTACATATATTTTCATTCACTTTTTCTTAATTTAGATTGCAAGGAGATAACTTGGCAGAAAGACCAGAAGATGGCTTAGCGGTGTCTGACACTCCTGAGCCGACAATGTCAGACTCTGATGGTAAGTTATAGAGTATATATATCTGCCCATCAAAAACAAGAGCAATTTGCACAGAAGAGTAGAAATTATGAGAAGATTCAATTCCCGAGAATATTCCCAGGCATTTGAGCTCAATCATTTATGCTTTAAATCTGTTAGGAGAGTTTCTAGTAAATAGGCTGTTCCTTGTAAGTTGCCAAAGAACAGTCTTTGAAATGGTTGTTTTGATAGTAGAGATATATGTGTATATAGGGTCCAAATGGTATACAGTAAAAATGAAAAATAGTTACAGAATTTCTCCTCTGTTTTTAAACTGTATCAAAATATGCTTCTCTGATCCCTCTGAGCACTACTGACAAGAATTAAAAGCATGCTAAAAAGGAGTTTATACAGTGCCTCTAAAGAACATTTCCATCTACAAACCTAATCATATATTATGCTAATCAGTAGGCAGGACAATCAGCCTTGTTCTAATTTCTGCTGTGTTTTTTTGTTGTTGTTTGTTTGTTTTGTTTTTAACAAAGTAACCATTGAAATAATTTTCATGGAAGAAGCTAAATGGAAAAAACTAATGGAAAAGGTCATTCCTAAGAGGTCCTTCCTTTCTTGTAAGAGAATGCCCTGCTTTCCTCTGAAACATGTTGAAATTAATCTTAGCTGTCACTAGAAGAGACACAGAAGTATCTCTGGTTTGCCCAGAGATTCCTAGATAAATGCATCTTTCAGTGCATTCCCTTACTGCTGGGCCAAACCAGCAGTCTATCAAGAGGAAGATTGATTTGCAGTTTAGCCTGCAAAATTCTTCAGTTACAAAACTAATCCCAAGAAAGAGAGACGCCAGTGCTTCATGTAGAATACATTATGGTATATGTGAGCAGGAGATTATTGCAGTGGAAAAAGATAGAGATATAAGACATATATATTGTAGAAAAAAAAATGTACTGTTCCTGAAGCAATTAATTTTAAACAGATCTCCACCCTTCTTTCCTGCGTACCCTAGTTCCTAAATCAAAAGTATATCCCCCTTGCTTGTAGGCTTCTTTTCTGATTAGTGGGAGCAGAAGATTTGCAGTGTTGCTAAAGGGCAGAGGCACCAGGATGGAAAAAGAGGAACCTGTCAGGAAGTGCAGGGTGCTGTGTAATAATTAAGTTGCCTCTATCATGATCACAGAGTATGGAGCACAGAGTGCTGTAGCCATCCTCACTTTGACCGATTTGTTACACTGCTGAATATTGTGTATTCGGTATGGATACAGAGAAGATTGAATACCTCTTCCTAAAAAAAATAAAATAAAAATACAGGGGGGGAAAGGTAGATAAGTATGTAAAGCAACAAAATTCATACTGTTACACTGTTATATCTACATCTATCTCACGTATGTGAGTATATGTGAACCCTTAGCTATATAGCTAGCATAGCCTTTAGGGCAGAAATACTGAGGTCAGCAATGAGGTATTGCCAAATTTCTGACAAGAGCATTCTCAGAAATGCTCTACCTTTTAAAATTCTTCTTTTTTTTTCCTAATATGTTGGCTACCAATACCTTTTGATTAAAAAAAACACAGCTGGCTTTTACAAGTAGGCACAGCCTAGAAACAGGCACAAACTTTGCACAGCTGCCCCTTCTATCAATCTTTCCTATAAATGCAGCATATAACCTATTTTATGCAGAGCTGATATTTATTCCCAAAAATATTGTGTATATAAAGGAGATGATAAATGAAACTATTGTTAGAAAAGCTTACACAAAATTTAAAATGCTGCATTTAAAATTTTTTGTTATGTTCTCTAAGAATGTGACAAAAAGTTTCACTTACCAATTTTTTTCAGGACTATATGAATTTATTTTTTATTCTTACTTATCAGTACCAGTGATTCTATAGACAGAAAACTCTACAGTGAGAAGTGCTGATGCAAACCTTTGGTTCAGGAGTATGCAAGCATGGTGCTGATGCTCAGCAAGGTCAAAGTGTCTCTCTCTGGATAATGATTTGTTTCTGGGTTTAGTGGGAAGATTGTTAAACTGTTAGACCTGGAGCATTTTTCTTGTGGATTTTGGATGCACTAGGTTTAGAAGTAGTTTTCTGCATATCTGATCTAACAGCCTTTACAAATAAGCCTTACTGAAGCAATTCCACCTAATAAAGTCAAAGCAATAGCTTGTGTAAAAAAGCAATAGCTTGTGTAAAAAGATCGTCTGCAGAGTCAGGCACTACCCTGACTCGGCTGACAGAGTAGACCTGCTTCTAATTAACCACTCCACTGATTTCTCTGTTGTGTAATTGTGCTGAATTAAACAGAGTTGCATTTGATATAAGTTGTAAAAAAGAGAGGGAAATCGGGCCTTGAGATATGAAAACATAAGACTTTTTAACACTGCACTTTCTTTTTACTATCCTAAACAAAATCTTTCAAAAGTGGTTTTCTTTCCCATAGGGCCATATATCTCCACAGAAAATAATTAAGTGGACATTTAAATAGCTAGGTTTCTGATTACCAGGAGTAACTTTTGTGACTGCAGTGTAGATGCCGAGCCTCCCAGATTTCTCTCATGGATTAGTCCTCCATTAAGCCACTTATTCTGTCTTTGAAAGTTTTCCTCAATGCCTTCCTCCTCCTCTCTATAGATAAATGAGTGGAAAAGGTGAGGAGACCATTTCCAGAAGATAGACAATCCAACAGGATGCTCTCTGTTTTTGATGGTGGAGGAATGTAGAGTTCATATACTGATATGTATTTTTTTCAGATTGTATATTATGAAATATACAGAAGTGTTCATTTAAACCCAGTTGCCCAGATGGAACTTTATGACTGGAGAGAAAAATCAATAAGTGGGTGTGAGTATGTGGAAATTAGGGGTGAGAAGCAGACGTGACAGTGCAAAAATCATTCATTCAGTATTAGGCCGTTACTGAATCACCTATAGAGCATCTTGCTCCCCCTGAAAGGTGTTTCAAAAAAACCTACATCTTCAGCAAGTACTGAAGTACTGTCTGAATATAACTGGGAGAAAACACTACAGACTTCATACAGAAAAAGAAAAAGGCAAAAAGAAGGAAGAGATCTCCCAATATCTGACCACTTAACGATGTTGCAGCATCATCACTTCTTCCTTCTCTTTCGGTTGTGTTTGCAATGAAAGTGGTGACCGTGGCTGCTGCAGCTGTGGATAGTTCTGTCTTTATGCCAAGCGTATTCTGAGATATTTAACAAATCAGGTTGTTCTGAGAATGTAAAGACCTGCCTGGTAGTGTCTGAATGCCAGCAGGACTCAGGGAATGCCAGGGCACCTTGCTTTTCCGACTGCTCATGCACAGCATCCGAGTGCCAGTAGACTGCCAGGAGAGCAGTGTCACTATCCAGCGTGTCACTTGGAAATTGCTTTCTCTGAAACAGGCTCTTAAATTCTGAGCTAAGTCTTTCTATATGCATTGAAGCGACATTCTGGCTTTCTCATGAAGCTGTGTTGCTTTGCACTTGTATTAGCAAATTAGCATGGGAAAAAATTATGGCCTGCATGGCTTGTAAATATTTCCTAAAATGGCCAGAACTGCTTATGTCAAGAATGCTTAACTGCATTCTATTTGCTTTGATTGAATTAATATAAAGTTACATTGTTTTTATTACAGCTGAAGAGCTCTACGGTGTAAAAGCCAAGCAATATTTAATTTTAACAGTAAAAAATAACTTTCAAGACATCTCAGCAGCTGAAGGGTACCTTGCTCATCACAGTTGTCATTTGTGATGCTGATCCACATTGTATTAGGCTCATTAGTATGAGCCCAGACATAAATTAAAATCTATCCAAGTGGAATCAAAAAGCAGTGCTTGTGTGGTAGTAATACTTACTATTCCAGCAGTTAACTTATAGGCATTTTATTTTCAAAGTGATTAATTGTGCTTCATTAGCGTGACTTACTGTTTTTCTACCATTTTGCAACAGCTGGAGTATCTGGGGTTGAAACACTAATGGAAGATATTGATGAATTTGAGAGTGCCCCTCAAGTAGCAGGATCTGTAAGTACTTTTTCTTATGGATAATCCTCTGATTTTTGAAAATAATGTGATAAAAAATGCATTTTGTGTAAGCATGATGTTGTGCTTGCCAGCACTGTCATCCAGAAACAAAAAACAACACAAATAAAAAAACCCCCTAATTTCTAAAACTATTGTTATTAACTCACATTAAACCATGCATTAGCAATGACTTATATGCATATCTCCTATTGGAAGTACAATCATTTTAGAGTCTACCTGTATGTTCTCTAATGTTTATTTGGTGGTGAAATATCCATTTTACTAGTTTGCTAAATTTACAAAATTATCAATAATAATTAATATTAAACAACAAAATAATAATCAACAATACCAAAATAGTTTAAATTCTAATTTAGTTATGAAATTTGACATTACAATATCTCAACTATAATTTAGCCCTTTTGCTTACATTTGCTTGGAACTAATATCTGAGGTATTTATTTAAAAGTTCTGATTAACTTTCCTAAAAATAGGGAAATGTCTCTTGATATTTCCATTGGTATTTCTTGTTTAGAAGTTCAGGGAAATTTTTACAGTTTTGAGGGAATTTTTTTGAGTTTTCATGACTTTGGTAGAATTGGTCATAGAAAAAAAACACTTGGAGAATTTAGATCTTATATTTTGAATACCGCAAAATCCCAAACAAAGTGAATACTGAATAAATAAGTAATGCTAACGGAAAGCAATTTGAAGTATTTTCAAGAGTCAGCACTTTTCCTAAGATCCAGGATTTTGCCAGCATTCAAAGTGGAAGCAAACATTCAAAACTTACTTAGAGATCCTAGTTTATTTCAGGACTTATTTCATGACAAATATTTGATGTAACAGGGGAGCGAGGCAAAATCCAAAGCTTTTTATTTCCCTTGAGATTTTTGCTGTGGCTTACATTCAGTGCCCTCATTTGCTTTATATTTCTGAAGTTAAAAGTTGGATAAATATTTGGCCAGCAACCTTTATGGAAAATGCTTAGGGGATATAAGAAAAAATAAGATGGCAAGCTGAAATTCTAGTAGAAGTAGCAAAGGAAACTATCAGAGGAAGCTACTGGATTTACAGTTAATAACAGAAGGAAGCAGGATATATGCACTGAGCGCTTTTATTGAGTGGCTATGGCTTCCTTCTGAAAAGTTTTTCTTCTTTTTAACCTCATCTGGACCTAGCAGGATGCTCTGTTATTGTTTTTTTCTTCGTGTGGATCTTTGCACTCTCTAATCTGGCCTTTCTTGTGCATATTAAAACATATATTTTTCTTTGTGAATTGTCCATGTAAGCTGATCTAATCCATGTGAAACAGAAATTACGGAAAAAAGTCTATCTGCAAAAGGTGTTTTTGCAAAAATTTTCCTTGAATTTTTGCTTTTTATGGAAAAAAACAATGTATTGTTTTATGAATAGCTTTAAATATTATCAGTGTATTTTCAGAACTTCTCAGTTGCTTTCTTATTAAGAATGGACACATGGATTTATAATGATGAATAAAGAAATTGCTTTAGGATAATTAATTTCTGAAATTATTTGAAGCTTCATGCACTTGGAAAAATGAAACTTTTAGCTCATCTGTTATTGATTCATGCTGAATATGTGTTTATTTCAGGGATTTAATTTTAATTGTGATTCATAGGGACTTTCTTACCTTTTCTTGGTATTCTCTCAGGGAACAGTGGTGTGAAGTAACTTAATGGATGTACAAGCTTGAACATAATCAACCACTCTAGCAAACCTAAACTCGAGTGTTTAACTCAACATGTAAATTATTTTTTGGACTGGGGCCACCGTTCGGCAGTTAGCAGTTTTGTCATTACAATAAATATTTCAAACTTCCAGTGCCACGTCAGGAATAGCCTCAGTGTGCCTCTGAGGTACTATGAGGCATAATTCATAATACTCTGAATTTTAAAGGTCATATTTAAATAATACGTGGACAAAATTAGCATATTCTGGTACAAGTGTTTTCAAATCCAAGATAATTTTTGAAAGTGTGTGGATTTATCTCTGAAAATTCAGGTACACAAAGTTGACATTTTTTGCCTTTTAATAGTAAATTTAAATTTAAATGGTGATGATAAAATAAGTACAACTCTCTTGCAACTGATCAAGGAAAAAATGTGAATGAGTAATACTAATTTTTTTAGCTACATTAACAAAATAATATAATAGAATTATATACCATAAAGGTCATTGAGAAATAGAAAAAAAAGTCCTGCAGGTGATTAAGCAAATAGCTTGAATTACATACCTTAAATTTCTTTTATCCAGACTTTATCTAACTAAAAAGAAAAAGAAGTAAAATAAAGTAAAATAAATGCAAGAATTTTAGTATCTATAGTTGCAAAATAATAATATCTTACCTTGAAAGTTCTCTTTAGCTATGGAGAGCATCTGTAGTACTTAAGAATACTTCTCCACTTCTTACCTGCCAATATCTCTTTTTATGGATATCATTTTGCGGATTGCAGAACTCAGTCCATCCGAGTGCCCTCCGGGCTGGGTGACACATGGCCTGGCTGCCGGTCTCCCCGCGGAGATGTGGGCTCTGCACGTGGCAGGACTCAGAGAGAGGTCCTGGCCCGGCAGAGCGCAGGTCGTCAGCCCTTGCATGCAGATTGTGGTTAGTACTTCCAAGGAGACCTTCGAAATGTCTTGATTCAAATACAATGGCAAATGTGTTCTGGAGTAAAAAAATACTCTTTTTTGTCATTTTAAATTGCAAGAGTTTTCTGCGTTTTAAAAAAATCCAAAAAAAAAAAAAAATGCATCTAGCAGTGCCTTGCTCTTATCTCTCATGTTCCACATTTGATATCTTTGGCAATAAAAATTCAAAAATACTACTCCAAATGACAGCAAATAAAATAGGTCTGAATCATTAAAAAGAAAACTATTCAGGATACATTATAGGTGGTGAAACAAATGTGATTCCCGGTTGCCCATGTATTTCCTTCTTCTTTCTTGCCTGTTAATAGGAAACCTACATATAAGTTAACCCAAATCTTTCTATAGAGAAGACTAGCTCAGTGGCTTTTTTTTAATGTAAGTTTAGCGTAAAATGTGCTGGCTAGCTGCCATGGGAAGCAGAAAGCTTGTAATTTCAATTACATGGTGTTTCAAGTAGAACAGACCCTAATGGGGAAGGTGGAGATTAGAGATGGCTGCCAAATTTGAACACAACACTGAGGAGGATTATTTATTCTAGCATACCTTAAAAACAAGTTGACTAGTTCACCCTATGTGCCTAAACACACTGTGAAAGCTGAAAGGTTAAGCATTTGGTGAACTCTTATGGAGAAATAACTGTGTGAAGGACCTACAAACAAAATATTGTACAGAAAGATCACCCGCTTGAATAGCAGTTGTCCTCAGCTTCTTGGTTAGAGTTACTTGGAAAGGAGAGTTACAAATGAATTACTGAAAAAACTTGTTGTTTTTTAGTTGAAGGAAACTGTCATTTTTTATTTAAGCTTTATTTAAATTTAAATATGTAACACATCAGGAAGTGTTACAGTGTACACAAAAAGCTAAGAATGGTTGTCTTTCTCACAGTGTTGTCTCCTCAAATTAATAATAAAATTTGCGTTTGATTAGCAAAACTATGTAGAAGACAAAGCTCAATAAAAATTCATTATATGTATTTGCAACTCAACAGGAACTTATGATTGAATTGTAAATTAAATGCAATATTAGGTGAAACTAATACTGCTCTCCTTTTCCTGGTGATTTCTTACATGTTTCACAGAGATCATGCAGTTCAGTGTTAAAAGTTTTTAAAATGAAGAAGCACTCTCTCTTGTGACTTGGATGTTCTCCCTGTTTAGAGAGTTCCTGAAGCACTTGGAAAGAGGAGTTGTGTGTGTCCATGCATATGCGTTTGAATACATCAGTGCTTGAATCTGAAGTAGACAAGAAACCCATAGAAATTCAGGCCACATTCTTTAACAATATTTTTTACAGTTAACAGCAAAGAGTAATTTCTTTTCTAACAAGCATTTGGTTTTCAGATGTTGTTATAGGTTAGGAACATTAGGCTTGCCTTTTGGACTTAGATATTCTAAAATCTCTGGAGTCAATGTGGGCATTTCCACGAGTATGACAGCCCATGACAGTTCAGGCTGGTGGTAAGATCAACACATTCACATGGATGTTGTTTTTCTAGGAGTAAAAGCTGTACTGAAATATAGCCATGAAACTAGCACTGTGCTGTAGACTGAAGCTAAAAAGACAAGGATGCCTTTCAGGAATATCTTCATACTTTGATCTAAAAACTCGTTAATATAAATAGGCCATTTATAAAATGTATATTAGTTTAAATAGGCTGCCTATAAAGCTTAATGAACAATAAAAGCAATCGGAGGGTGGAATATATAAAAGGTACTGGAAAGGTCTATGTCTATGCATTTCTTAGTACATGCATACTAGATTTTCCTCCCTACTTTGTCTGCTGTTGTCACCACACATTCTGAAGTCAGAGTTAAATAACGTTAGTGTTTTATCTCTGCTATACCTGATCACGACACAAGGGATGGTTTTGGTTAAGTGAAGTAAGAAGGTTGAAATAATTTTTTTTTCAAGTCTGGTTATATCTTAAATAAAATAATTATTGCTATTCATTCTCAGGTACCCAGTGGAGTGAAGGTAATCTAGTGAATTCTGCACAACAGTATAAATTCTTGCTATAGCATTTGAACTATGCTGTAAAAATGGCGTGTTTGAAAAGCCCCCTTGTTAAGAAACTCTTTTTCAGCTGTTGCTGACTACTTGGGATATTTCTGAAGACTTTTGGTCCTCCAGTATTCCCGTCATCAACTGACTAATTTTTATTCCTTATTTCATCAGAATTATATTTATGTGTGAAATTGCATATTCAAAAGATTGTATTCTTATAACTTTGAAGATTTTTTTCCTTATGGTGATTATTAAAATCTTACTGTCTTGCTCTTTGTGATGATACACTATAAAAATTAATTTAAAGAGCTTATTTTTCCCAATGAAAATCTGTGGACAGGAGAGTAAGGAAGGAAGAAAGGGAGGGAGGGAGGAAGGAAGGAAGGAAAGGAAGGAACTGATTAGAAAATGAAATATCAGAGTTTTATTTCATGCTCTATTCTCAACATTTAGTGATGTGAATAATTTAATAGGAGGAAATAATCTTTAGTGACTGCAACCGGCCTGATTCCGACAAAGGCATCAAATCTACATTTCAAACTGAAGTGGCAAATGTTCAAAGTTTCTTGGGGAAACAAGTATATCAGATCTACTGATACATCTGAAATAAATGTATTTTTACATTTATTGATTTTAGGATCACTTTAGGATCAAATGATTTTAGGATCACTTCCACTTCTGGGTGACGTACCATTTTATTCACCTGTTCTTGTATAATTACTTGGGATTAAGTATGGGTAACTTTAACCAAAGCAGAAGTACTGTAACAGTCAATTTGTAAATTAAGGTATGTCATTACTGTTCTCAAAGGTGTGTGAGCTAATAACAATGGTGTGAATTAATAATATCAGCATTTATGAAACATTTGATATACTGCTGAATGAGACTAGGGTTTTTAATGTAGAAATGTGCAGCTTTTCAGGATTTAACACGCTTAATAATTATGAATCTGTAGTATATGTTAACATACTTGAAAAATCTGCACTTCAGAATGATCACTTGCATACGAGGTGGTGTTTATTTGGAACATATTAGAAATGTATATTTTGGTATAAGAGTAACTTTAGCAAGAGCAACTGTAACTTTTTATTTAGTTTTATTGTTAAAGCAAGTTGTTTGTTAGCAAAGGACTGTTGACCCCAAATTTCCTTCTTCATCCATTGAACTGTACACCTTCCTCTATAGCCTGAGATTCCAACCAGAAAGAACACCTTAAGTGTCGCAACTATCTCCGGCCGCCCATCTTGTCATGTATTTATGTTTATCTCAAATGAACACATAAAAGCTTATTGAGTTAGTTATATTTTAAAGGCAGTTCTTGAAAGGATGTTGAATGGATTCCAGAAAATGTGGCTAACTGAATACCACATTCAATGTTCAGATAGGTGGTCTGTTTACAAGTATCCCTTGTATTGCCATCATGATTTAGTTGCTGTTGCTGAAAGGAATGCGTCTTGCAGTGACAATTTTGATTAGGAATTCTGTGATATTCCCAGAACTGCTGCTGTGCAGGGATACTGTGCCAAATGTTATGGTAATTTAAGTGCAATGCCACTAAGTAAAATAATTGCAATTATTTGTCCTGTTATGTTGCCTCGGCATGAAGCAAGAGCTTGTATGCAGGTACATATTTAAATCATGTTAGACTAGAAATGTTGATTTTAATTAACAACTACTATTCATGTTATTTAAGGAAAAAATGTGTTCTCTAATATTTTGCCTATAAAGCTTATGTATTAATTCTACTTACAAAGTACCAGATTAACTTTCCTAAATGAAAATAACATCTTGCTCTATGATTTTTTAATCATTACAAATGTAAAAGTACACTTAGATATCTTCCTCTTTCTTTTTTAACTGTGTAAGTCACAGCCAGTTTGGACCCTGGATGCCCTGGGTATCAGAAGTGGAGGTTCCCCAAGACAGAAACTCATAAAGGACTCCTTAGCAGCAAAAGAACTGAAAACCATGGAAAAACACCTCGCTGGTATGTATGACAGCAAATGCCTCCCTCGGCCAACTAGCCGTGTCAATATTTTAGACAAAGAAGCTCAGAAATAGATGAAATAGATAAAAACTTTTAATTTTTCTTTCTTTGTTGAAGAGAAACAGCATTTTATTGCTGCCTTTGTAGATATAATATTTTAAATGATAGCGTAATTAGAGTAAATACGGTAATTAAACTGTTAAATGTCCTGCAGCCCAACATCTTAATGACAAGTTTTTTACATATTTTGTCAAGACTTATGCAATAAGTATTTGCTATTTCCTCACCTAGAGTTAACTAGTCTCCCCAAAAGAATGCAGTGGCCCTTCAGACTGAGAAAGCATTGCCGTGCAGGTAGAGTGCACCTCAGGCATGGGCGTTCTGCCTGAGCAAAGGCTCTTGAGTTTGTGCAATGAAACTTCTGCAGCATCTCTGATGGGGCAATTGTTTCTAAAAGGCCAAAAAAGTACCCAGTGTATTTTTAGTGAAAATATCTCTCAGGACTTTTAAAAAAGATAATGAAGACTGACCCTAGCTACATTTTGTTGTTCTTTGTAATCAGTATTTTCTTGTCTTCAGCCTCCAGTATATGGCATGGCACTATAGCATGGTAGGCCTATATTGTCATATCATGGTGACTGTATGTAAAGATGCTCTTCATGGGCCAAATCTAGGAAAAGTCATATAGAACTGGAATGCAATGTGTATGTAAGGTAGAGAGATGAATGAAATTTCTCTGAACCTCAAATCAGTCATAGAACAAGGCAAATAAATCTTTCAGTGGCATTTTCTGAAAGACTTTGGTCAGTTATTCCACCAATTTTATTGGTCAGAAAGCCTTGGGATGTCTGCAGCTGTTGTAGTTCTTTCTGGGATCTAGTGCAGCTGATGTCGGAGTGACAAAACCACGTGTGCAATGAGGTGCACCAGCATTCTGAAAAGATTTGTACTTGGGGTGGAAAAATAACTAAAAAATATGACATCTACAAGTGAAGAAATTTGACCATTTTTCATTTCTGAAAACATGAGATGCTGCCATTCATTTTTTTGTGTTAGGTTCAAATCACTGTTGCTATTAGAAATGTTAAAAATATTAGTAAATTAGCTGCAGAGCTAGGCTGAAAATCCATGTGCTCTCTCCGAAAGCTGAAATCCTGGAAACATCAAGTCAGCTTATGAGGCATGTGGAAGCAGTAGACCAGCACACTGAGCTGTGGGTGTTAGGTATCTGCATGCACAGCAGGACCAGAGAATGCCACAGGTCCCTACCATTGAGGCAGGACTTATCTTCTCATGTGTTGCTGTAGTTGTCACTCGCAAGGGGTCTCGTGATGTCTGAGTTGTGACTCAGGAGTCTCCTTACTTTGTTTTATGTCCAAACTTCTGCTTCTTTCTTCGTTCTACCAGATGCAATTCCTTAGAAGTCTCTAGACAGAGCTGACAATAACAACTGCCGTATTCAACACAACAAAATGTAATTTTAAATATTTTAATTAAAACCATTTAAATTAATTTTAAATTAAAATAATTACCTGTAAACTAACTGGCTAGATCCTCTGGGTTCAGTGCACTGTTATATGGCCTGAAACGTCTTTGTTGCATTAGTAGTGGTGTTGGTGGTTGGCTTTCAGCCTGCTGTTTCACTTACACTGGGGTTCAGCTGTTTTACCACACTATAATTATTTTCTACTTGAGACCTTCATAAGAAAATGGTCCATTCATTAGATATTAGACTCTCCTATTCCTATTAACTAATTATTTGAGTTCTTATTATGATATTTTGAAGCAATCAGTTTTTTTTTCCTTCTTTACATATTGCTCCGTAGTGCTTTTGTTGGAGAGGTAGTCTTTTATGTGTCTGTGGCTTTATATCATACGAAGTAAAAAATTTTTTGTTGGTAGTTAATTCCAGAAACCTGCAATATATTACAAGACAAACTTCTGAATGCATAAATATTTTCTAAATGTGTTATGAATCATATTCTCATGCTAGTATTTCTGATAAGCAAGAAAATGCCATGGGTTGCTCTTCTGGCTGTTGTTTTTTTTTTTTCCTTTAAATGTCATTGACAAAAAAATTAAAAAATCCTAAATCATAATTCAATTATTGTATTCACTGTACATCTGTAAGACTAGAGATTTGCTTTTTATTTAGTTAGTTGAAAAGCTGACACTGAAGTAAACTCAGAGAATGTGTGCTAAATAAAACTGAGCAATTATGTTATGCGAAAACGTAAATTATATATGAAGAAATTAATTAAAGATTGTTTATCTGCAGACTCAATTAGTATATGAACTTAAGAAACATGAACCAAAATATAAGGTCGGTTGAGCTCATAGTGAATCAACAGATATTAAGATAATTTGTTGAGCGTTCTGAAGTGCCATTGAGAACTTAGAGGTCTGTAATTTTGCAAAGACACAGGCTAATTGAATCTTTAGAAGAACACATTCCTCATTTGTTTTAAATTGAGTAACCCACACTATCGTTTATTACTGGATTTGAACCAGGCATCTTATAAGTTGCAAAGTGATGTGTATTGATCTTTTCTAAAAGCATAATGGAGGAGTACTTGCTTAAAGACATAATTATTTCAAAATGAAAATAACTAGCTGATTTTGTGAGGTCAGTTTTTAGTTAGATTAAAGTGACAGTTAGAAACCTTCCTAACTTTGTGCTAAAAGCAATAACTACATTTCAGAATTTGCT